ACCTGACAGCAGACACTACTAACTGCCTGCAGTCACCTTCATCAGCCAGAATAAGCCTCCTCTCGGAGCACGCACAGCAGTAATGTCATCAGCCAAACAAGGTCGGCTTGGATGTTTGAACTTATAGCTAGTCTTCCCAAATGCCAACTCCACGTCCATTGGGAATGCCTCAGTGATCAGAAGGGGCATTCTCATTGGACAGGAGGATGACAGCTGGGCGGGACTTTGTCATCACTACAAGGAAAGTTCTGCTCTAATAACAATGTAAAGTAAACCAGAGACGGTGCTGGAGACGCAATGCTAAATATTTTACATCTTGGCAACACATGGCCATGTTTTATCCCTCCACTGCAAGTACAGAAAAACACTGCGGATGTGCCAGAAATACAGTCCCCGGGATTCATGAGTTGTAGACGCTTAAGACAAATCTGTCTTGTACCCCACAACCAATCAATGTGACCGGAAGTGTCCATTTGGGATTAATTAGAATCTGTCAAGGTGCTATTGATGGGTGTATGTCAAGCCGGGAGGACACTTGTCTACATCAGCACTGACAGAGGGGCAGAGGAAGGGGTTCCACCAATAAACATAACAGCATACACCATATGATGTCCCCCAGTGCCTGAAAAATGTTAGTCTTGCCGGTACTGTGCAGTGTTCTGCAGTCAGAGTGGCACTGTCAGGCCAGATTCTGGAGGAGAAATTAAGATTTAATGCAGATTTCAAGTATTAGTCTAAAAGTGATAATGAATAAATCTCTGGAGAGTGTGATGAGTCCCATCTGTAGTATATACTGCCATAGACTGGATCACCCCTCTGCATGACATCACTCCCTCCGGAGCTCCCACCCCCCACTGATTGAACCCCCACACAGCTCAGCCATGACAGCCCGCACATCCCTTCAGGGCTCCCCATTCATCCTCTTCCTCTGCTCTATTCACTACAATGGGATGCGGCGGGAGGTCCAGGCTGCTCGGCCTCCCGCGCCTTTCCAGTAGGAGGAGCCGGACGACCCTCACACTCCCGCAGAGTCGAAACCGGGCACCCCCTCTTGTCCCTGGCACCACTCACCTGCAAGCTCCCGCTTCCCTTCCGGCTCTGCCGCCGTCGCTGTCACTCTTATTCCAGAAGCACGGCCGTAATCGCTAATGTTTGTTTCCTTTCATTCCACCACGTACGGCGTGCTGACGTCACACCAGCGGCGGGAAGGGACGTCACCCGCCCCATGAGGCGACGTCACGTGTTAACCCTTGGAGGCTCGGGCATAATTGAAGAAACCGAAGCAATTGTTCTCTGTTCACACCGTACATGTGCGTGGTTCAACAACGCCAAAACAAAATGCTGTGCATTGCGCCGTGTAGAAACGCAGAATTTTTACGACGCACATGTATGACGTGAACAGGACACAGAGAACAACGTTTGTATGAGGACAATTTATCAAAACTGGAGCAGTTGCCCATAGTAACCCACTTAACGTCTCAATGATTCAGTTTAAGTTAAGCCTTAAAATTGAAAGAAGCTGATTGGTTGCCACGGGCAACTGCTCTGGTGTTGATAAATTCCCCCGTGTCCTTGTGTGGAGTCTGTGTTTATCAATGCAGATCAACGAAACACAACAAATCTGGTCGCAACGTGTTATGGTGCATACCGTTGAATGAATTGTTTTCTAACTTGGGGGGAATTCATAGAAAATGGAGCAGTTGCAACAGAGAAGTTGATTGATTGCCATGGACAAAACGAACTCCTAGAGATTTTTTGCTGGGGGACTTTAGTTACGCTTTACATTGGAACTATGTGCGTCCCTTGTCTGGATGTGCAGTGTGGGAAATGTGTGCAAGGGCTCCTCCACGCCATCTGCGTTCAGCCCACACACGAGACAAGGCTATTTGCCATGTCATGGATGGTGACATTTCACAACATTGCGTTCTGGTGCTTGTAGTACTTTTTTTAAGCACACCGCAGGGAGACATGCTACAACTGCATCACACTATGGTGAGCCCATAGAACGTAATGAAATGTCACTTTATTACAGGTATTTATATAACACCGACAATTTACACAGCGCTTTACATACAGCACAGTCACATTCCATGCCCTCAAGGAGCTTACAACCCATTTGGGACATTTTAATAAAGTTCGAAAAAAAAAAAAAAAGAGTGCAAGGTGGCTCGATCCAACGCATCAGCACTGTACGGGCACATGCACAATAGCAGCTGCTGGTGTGAACAAGCCCTGAATCACAAGTCTTGCTGGACAGAACTACAAATTCTTAAGGTGCACCTTACAATATATCTGCAGATTTTCTGTGGTCAGATGGAAAAAGTGCAACAGATTGGTCCAGGTGGAGATTACTCCTAGTGTAGATGGAGGAATCTGTTGCACCTTTTACATCTGACCACAGAAAATCTGCAGATAATTGTGAGGTGTATAGCCAGCTTAAGGCAGGTAAGCAACAATTATACAGCATGCATTTTAGCTGTATATTCACTTGTTTCTGTCCTCGGCTATTTCACATTTTTTTGTTTTGCAAATACGTTTTACAATTTCAATATTTTTTTTTGGGAAATAATACAAATACACAAAATTTACAAACACACCTTTATTTCATCTAGAAATAATGTCACCATGCATTGTACCAGAAACAGATTTTGTATCATTATATACAGGACACAGAATAAAATTGGTACCTTAAGGCCTTGTTCACACCAAGCGCGGAGCAGATCCAGACCAGAGCAGGTGCAGACCGGATCAAACCTGCGTCCAATGTATTCCTATGGTATTTTGACCTCCAGTTCACATCACAGCGTGCAGATCCAGAACAAGTGAAAAAACTGCGGCAAGCCCTATTTTACCTGCTCTGGAACGCATCAAAAACGCATGCAAGTGCCTGAAAGCCCATGTTAAACTTTTTTTTTACCAAAACCGGCCCGGAACGCATCAAAAACACAGCACAACGCTATGCACTGCGTGTGCAGAAACCTGACCGGATCTGCTCTGCATTTGGTGTGAACAAGGCCTTACTAGCTAGAGTCGCTCTGTTTGTTTTACAGCGATATCTCTGCAAGAGAGTGAAGAATGAACTGCCCACCCGCCAGAGAGCCAACTATTTATCTTTCTCTACGACAGGTTGCAGCTGTGACATGGTTTTATGTCTAGTTCACACCAGCCACAGTGTGTTCTGGCCTGATTGCGGCCGGCTCACTTTGTGTTGGGGCGTGGGGGTGCATTAAACTCAATGGCACTACAACCATGCTCTCTGGCCGCAGTGTGATTGGCCGAATGAAAAATGCGTGGCACATCAGTGCCTGCGTTCCGGTTAGAAAAAATGCTGCAAGCACCATTTTCTCTGACCGGACTGGAACGCAGGCATTGATGTGCCACACGTTCTCATGCAGCCGATCGCATTGTGGCCAGAGGGCGTGGCTGCGGTGCCATTGAGTTCAATGCACCACTACGCCCCAACACAAAGTGAGCCAGCGCTATGTAATCCAGTGCAATCTGTCCCCAATCAGGCCAGAACACACTGTGGCTGGTGTGAAGTAGCCCTAAAACCATGTCACAGCTGCAACCTGTAGTAGAGGAAGATGAATAGTTGGTTCTCTGGCGGGTGGCAACTTCGTTCTTCACTCTCTTGCAGAGATATCGCTGTAAGCCATAGATAGAGTTGCTTTGAATCATTAATACATACCTGGGTGCATTCATTTCATCTTTTTGTCTGGCTGAAATTCAGCTTTTAGATCCAAAGCAATGCTGATTTGGAGTTAAGTCTCCCGAGCCAATTCACACCAGATGTGTTGGGGCTGCGCTGGCCATCTTTTGCATCTCAGTCCCAGCACACTGACAAGGTAATAGCCTTGTTTTCAACTGTCTCCATTTACACCAAAGTGTTGCAGTGGTGCGTGCTGAAAAAAAGTACAGCATTCGGTACTTTCTTTTTTCCAAGCACTGGGTGGTGCGATGTGCCAACATCAGCGCATTTGAACGTTTTCTCTCGCCACACACCAGCAGCCATTTAGAGCAGCTTGCTGGTGTGAATCCAAACTTAAAGGAGAAATATCAAGGCTGTCGCTAATAACAATCTTTTAGGTTCTGCTTTGTCTGCAGAATGTGATAAGCTGATGAACAAACAAACACTTGCAAGGACATTCATTTTGCTCAATACTAATTATACCGTACTTACTGGTTCAAGATCATTTTATTATTTCTCAATGTATTGGTATGTTTTACGCATACTTGTCATTTTCGCAATAAATCCGTGTAACCATAAACATTTGTCATCATGCCAGTTTACATTTCAGAATTACTGTTCTATTAAAGAAGAACTCCAGGAAATATTTTCAGAAAAGACTGCAGGAAGTACATAGAATGAGTCTGTGAAAGTTCTCATTCATCCAGGTCATGGTATATCTGTAAAAATAAATCAAAGCAGCTGGACTTGTATATTTTTTAAGACAATTTGCCGATCATCCGATTAGCTTTCTCCATTCAGAATTGTGAAAGCTAGTCAGATGACCAGTGAAACGTCTTCAGGAGAAATACAATAAGTCCAGTTGCTTTGACAGATATACATATAATGTGTTAAAGCGAAACTGCAGTGCTCATCGCTACACTGTGTCCGTGGGAAGCTTAAAGAAAACCTATCCATTTAAAAAAAAAAAAAAAATCCCAGTACTGCCACTTGTGCTCGTCACATTTCTGATCTCCCAGTACTTCCAAGGTTTTCCTGGTAGAAAGGAGCAGATGACATGCCACGTGCCTCCCCACATTGCCACACTTGGGACCTGAGTAGCCAATCACCAGGCCCCAACACAGTCACATGGGAGCAGTGGCCATGCCTGTTAGTGTGCAATTGTTGACTAGGTAAGTATGGGAAGGGGTTGGTGGTGGGGATTTGGTGGCAAAAGTGTAGACACCAGAGGGGGCCTAGTACAGGCTGAGGAGTGATTTTGGGATTTCTTGACAGGTTCACTTAACAGAGCCATCTATAGTAACCGGATCTTTTCATTTTTCTGTCTCTGATGTTATCGAATCGATTTCCTTCCGTAACTTGTTTACTTTTCTGCTAAACTTCAGTTTCATGTTCTCCACAGCAAATATATTTTCCAATCCCTGTTGCTGTTTTAAACTCTTTAATTCATACTCCAAGTCATTATTTTGCAGCTGCAGGTCCTGCATTCCCTTTCTGGCTTTCTGTAAACCGTTTGTAAGGTTATGCACCATTAAAGTTTTATCTTGCAGATCTTTTTTTAAAAACTGAAGTTCGGCATCTTTTTTTGCACCTTCTTTCTGCATCTGCTTTAGTAAAACACTTTTACTTTCAGTGTACCGTTTGGATGCAGCCAGCTCGGCTCTGACAGCCTCTAACTCCCGCTTGGTCTCCTTTTGTTTGGCTTTTAGTTGAGAAAGTTCAAGCTTGTAAGCATCAAGCTGCAGTTTTAGCTGAGTTCCTTCGCTATGTGTTTTATTCATTTCATGTCTTAAAAGTTTTAATTCTTGTTCACTCCAGATACACTTGTTGTCACCAACAGTATCAGTAGAATTGCTGTTTAATTTCTGACAGGCTGCACAGGTGGAACTTTGGGTTGTTGTGGGTTTTTTCTGGGCAGAAGACTCGTAATCTTGAGTGATCCGTTTACATAAAGTCTCTTTTCTTTTCAGTTTCTCATCTGCTTGCAGTTTACAAAGTGAAGCCTGGTAGATCCCTTGCACTGCCTTGGCCCTCTCCTTGGCCAACTTTTCTGACAGCAGAAGATCTGGTTCAAAAGTCTCATAGAACAAATCTTGTGCAGTGAAACGTGGGGTGAATAACTCTTCAACCCAGTGTTTCTTCTGATCTTCCATGAGCCTGAGGAACAAAACCAGAAAGGTAATGTAAATCAAGAGTTTATTTATAAATATGCCTCTAGTATTCCTTATTTTTAAAATAATTAAAAAAGGGGTGTTTTTTCCCAGTATACCCTCCCTCCGTTTCTTAGTAGGGTGGTGACCTCTCACATATATGCTAAAAGAGGTAAATAGTAAGTATTTCCTTAGATCACACCCAGGGCTGTCCTTATAATGAAGCAGCCTGAGGTTGTTGCCTCAGGCGGCATCTCTTTAGGTCACTTAGGGGAGGGTGGCAGGCAGAGCTGCATGACCGTTCTGCTGCACAATGTTTGCAGTGTGCCTGCCACCCCCTTGCTAGCCAGAGCATCCCAGGTTGCTGAGAGCTGGGCGGGTAGATGTGTAAGGGCCATACGCAACCCCTTGCCCAGCTCTTTGCAACCTTGGATGTTCAGGCCGGCGCCCCACACAACACTGGGCAACCAGTGACGTCAGTGAACTGGGGCACCAGACTGAGGGTTAGCGTGTACTACTGGTATTACAGCCCCTCCCAGAACATGCATCACCAGCACCCCCACCCCGGCGTCAGGCAGCAAATAGGGACTACCCCTCATCACTCCCCACTCCTCCGTTCCAATCGGACTGTCTGATTTAACGGTGGCAGTGCGTGACAAAGCGTTGTGACGCAATGCTGTTCATTGTGACACGCTGTGTTGCAATTAAATGTATGTCTGTATCATTTTATCACAACACATACACCAGCACAGCGCACAAACGATTTTAAACATAAGTTGCTTGATTACAGTTTGGCGATACTTGATTTTTTTACCATTTCGCAAAAAGGCGCAATTTAAAATTTACAAATATTTGTTAACTCAATACAGTTTGTCTTTTAGATCTAGTCGGAAAATAATTTTTTTTCTGTGCACGGATACTGATTTTAGTGTGCTTTTATCCATTTAATTGTATATTTTTATCAGTTTAATATTGATTTGACAAACATTTGCATATCACATGGCCTACAAAATGAGTGACACCATCTTTTTTTTCTACTGGGCCTGCGCTCTCAGAAAATATGTTGGGGGGGTTTCTTATACAAGCACTAGCAACGCAGCCATAGAAAATCAAAATAATGGGAAAAACTGCAAAAATGGTGTGGCCAGCTGAGGTGTAAAGTGTTCCAGAAGGCTTAGCAGCAAAAGGGTTAAATATGCCCTTTAACCCATGTAGAATGTATAAGCTATCAGTGGAGAGCCACGCCTTGATTACTTTTCACATATTAGCGGAGTCAGTTCTCTTGAAATCCATATATAGCTGTGGAACAGCAATCTGTGGCAAACGGATTAAAAATGCTTAGTCCATTATCACAAGCCCACACAACCATAATGCAGAATACTGCACATCAGATGCAATCTAGCACATCCCCTAGAGTGGCATCCATAAAAACTGGCAAGAGGTATGCTTATCCAGCAGCTATGCTGAGTGATAAATTGGACAGGGATGCCAGAACTGCAAAATAAATGGTTACACTGCATGCTGTATTCAGAACTTGCACTATATACAGCTATTGGACCAAACACAGTATGAAAGTGGTACATGACTGAAGTTTATTTTCCTCATCATCCAAGCAAGTTGGAGATTAGATCAAAATTCATCTAGCAAGACCATCAACTACATGTTACAAGTCTTTGATGGCATTATCAAAGGCTCTAATGAGATTTTTGTATTAACATTTGTACAAACATCTACTAGCGTATATCCAGCTTTATTACTATAAAATCAATCTGAGAGTATTTTTTGGTGAGACTTTTACATTTTACATGCACAGTGAAGGACTGCTGAGACAAGGTACATTAACTGCATGTCTTTTGGTTTTAATCAGTCACACCTGACAGATTTCAATTTGTGAGAGAGGAGGGCCTTTAGAAATTTACTGTGCCTATAGCCATATATCTACAGTATATATCCGCCATATAAGATATAAGGCACTGCTGCCACCGACTGCTGGTCTCATGAAATTTAGAGTGCGATTTGGTGATGTCACTACTGTACTTCTCACTGTTCTCCTTGCTGGAGATTAACCTGTATCTGAGTATCTGCTCTGCAAGGATCTCCCTGCTTTGTTCATCCTTTGGATCTGTGCTTTCTGCACTTCTCCTGCTGCTTACTGAATATTCCTCTACCATCAGAGGGGCAGTTCTGACATGAGAAAGAAAAATCCTTCCCCTACAAAGATAGCCTCCTCCACACAATTACACAGTGCGAAAGAAGGCATCGTAAGACAGTAATGAGGTAACTGCTGGAGCAGCTGGAGAAAGCCTACAGCCAAGAATGGTGACTATTTCTTTGCCCTTTGTCTTTTTTTGGGCATAGCAGCGTCTACTGTTCAGCTCCTACAGGGCTTGTTCAGACCATGTCCGCTGAGCTGCGGTTTTCTGCGCACCATCACACATGTATTATGGTGTGGATAGGGCACATAGGAACGTTTGGCTTTCTATGTGCCCTTTTCATACCAAACACGTGCCGTGGTGCGCAGGTAAACACAGCTCAACGGACATGGTGTAACTATAAACAAGCCCTAAAGGCTTTAATGTGCAGCTGAAAGCTGATGACTTATCATGGTTCCATCCCTGTGACTTATGCTTGATAATACTCAATCTACAATTCGAATCAGACAAAAAGTACCTAGAAGCAACCGGCACTGTTTTGTTTTTTTTTCAATACAAAAATCGTATTTTGTTGTAGAAAAAAACCAAAGCAAAACATGTAAAACCATTGAACATATAAACTTGAAATCTACCCAAAAACAATATAGTTACCTTTGTAGCAAATAGTCTGTTATTCATTTCCACTAACACAAATTGAACCAATACTCATTCTTAGCTCAGCCTTTTTTGGATCATTGTTAAGGCTTTGAAGAGAAAGCGAGCATAAAATATCCCTTATTATTGGTGGCAGTAATATTAACCCCCATCACTGGTGTCAGTGGCTGCAGTAGTTACCCCCACCACTGGTGTCAGTGGTCGCAATAACAACCCCTAGCATTGGTGTCATTGGCCGCAGTAACTGTGTGAGTCCCATCACACTCCTGATCATAAAAATATCCCAAAGTGCTGGGTGCAGCAGTGGCAGGTCGTTGGCGCCGCATTTGCAGACAATGTAGATCAGGGAAAGTCACCAACATGCCAATAGTGATGCAAGCATGTCTTTTATTGACGCATGTTCACATGATCACAAAGCCGCAGTAACAACCCCAACATTGGCGTCAATGGTTGTAATAATAACCCTCAGCATTGGTATCAGTGGTCACAATAACCCCCAGCATTGGTATCAGTGGTCGCAATAATAACCCCCAGCATTGGTATCAGTGGTCACAATAATCCCCCAGCATTGGTATCAGTGGTCACAATAACCCCCAGCATTGGTATCAGTGGTCACAATAATAACCCCCAGAAATGGCGTCAGTGACTGGGATAATAACTCCCAGCTTTGGTGCCAGTGGCTGCGATAATTACCCCCAGCAATGGTGTCACTGACTGGGATAATAACCCCCAGGAATGGCGTCACTGACTGGGATAATAACCCCCAGGAATGGCGTCACTGACTGGGATAATAACCCCCAGGAATGGCGTCACTGACTGGGATAATAACCCCCAGGAATGGCGTCACTGACTGGGATCCTGAAACAAAAAAACCCATACGGGCGCAACACTCGGTGGGCTAACTGACCGGGTCGGGAGACCCAGGGTATGCGTTATGGATGAGTGTTTCTGGATAAGCTTTGTCCTTGAATTTATTGGCGAGTAGTTTGCTTTGTGCAGTGAAATCTGTTAATCTGGAACAGTTCCGCTTTAGCCTGGCTCTTGGGGATGTTTTGAAGCCATCGGGGGGGGTGGCAACTGTTGAAATGTACATACGAGTTGCCGCTGGTGGGTTTTATGTGATTGCAGGTGGTAATGGCATTGCCGTCAGAGGATAATTCCAAATCTAAGAATACTAATTTATCTGGATTTTGCACGTATGTGAAAGTGAGGCCTAGTGTATTTCGGTTGCAGGAATGGTGTCACTGACTGGGATAATAACCCCCAGGAATGGCGTCACTGACTGGTATAATAACCCCCAGGAATGGTGTCACAGACTGGAATAATAACCCCCAGGAATGGTGTCACTGACTGGGATAATAACCCCCAGCAACGGTGTCACTGACTGGGATAATAACCCCCAGCAATGGTGTCGCTGACTGGGACAATAACCCCCAGGAATGGTGTCAATGACTGGTGTAATAACCCCCTCGAATGGGGTAACTGACTGGAATAATAACCCCCAGGAATGTTGTCACTGACTGGGATAATAACCCCCAGCAATGGTATCAGTGGCGTAATAATAACCAACAGGAATGGTATTAGGGGGGCGCAAAAACAACCATCAACACTGGTGTCAGGGGCCGCAATAATAACCCCTAGCATTAGAGTTAGTGCCAGTAACCGCACTTATATTCCCCAGCATTGGTGTTAGTAGATGCAATAAGAGACCCCAGAATTTGTGTCAGTACTAGTAACTTCCCTTCACTGATGGTCAGTGGCAGTGCTGTTAACCCCACCTTATATTGCTAGCCAGTGGAAATGTTAACGACTTCCCCCCTCCCCACCTTGCACTCTTGGTCAGCGCTGTTATCTCCCTCCACCCCTGCATTGGTGGGCAGTACTTACCTAAATCCTGCGACGCGCTCTCTCTCTCACCGCCATCTGGTCAGAACACTACTAGTAATGTCAGGCAGAGATCACTATGCCTGACAATACTACAAGTGTTCTTTCAGTGCTGGTTGCTGGAATGCAGACAGTGTTCCAACACCCGGAACCCCAACGCTACTCTGCAAACTGCCCACTGGTGTTTAACAGGTGGCAGACCCAGCCCAGGACACGGCGGGCTGCACACACAAAGCCGGTGGGCCATGTGTTAAGCACTATTGTGCTGTTGCCTTGTCACCCTGCCATATGCATTCAGGTGGAGACTACAGGCAGCTGTGCCAACACTCATTGCACAGAAATGGTTCACTGTTGTCACCATCAGGAAACCTGTGCCAGAAAAATGCCTTGCAGCCATCTATACATTACATGCATGTAGACAGGAAGCTGCTGCAAAAAGGCTAGAGGAGATCGAGTCACTAAGATGCAATAAAAGGACAGAAAGTAATTTTGGCTAACAATTGTCTATCGTGCACTGCGCTTTAGCAAGCTAAACATCATTCAGTTCGGGTTTACATCTACTTTAAATAATGTCTTTGAAAAAAAGTATTTCCAGGTCACATGACATGCAAAAGCTCTTTTGTACTTTAATCAGTGGTCACATGTCTGCAACATCTATTACATTCATGGTGGGCTGTTAGTGAAGCAACAGTGTCTGCCCAATGCCTGATGAAGTGTGTCAACATAAAAAAAACAACATATGCAGTACATCTCTGCAATACATACCTTTTTCCCTGTGCTTTATCCCTTTAAAGAACCTGCAAGTACAAAGAATACTGGATGATTAACCAGAAATGTGTTCAGCTTTAAAGTCCTATTGTGGGCTGACAACACACAGCACTATAGTAGACTAAGTGGTGTCAGCCCTGCCCAGCGTCTTTTCTTTTCTTTACTCAGCTACTACCACTCTGAGATCTCTACAACATAAAGGCTAATCATTCTGTTGCCCAAGAATTAGGGGGCTCATTGGCATAATACAGAAGTGCAAAGGACTGAATTTCTGACATGATCCAACAGTTTGGGATTTTTTGGGACTAAATGTGGCCATGCAATTTTCACCGGTTAACCATTCGCACAGTGGGTGCTGCTTTCGGCTCCCTTTTCGGCCAGCATCCCTGATCAAAAATCTTTGAATGAACAGAGCAAGCAGCCAATGAGCTGCCGGCTCTTCTCTGTTTAGGTATTCTGACAGGGACTGCTGTCAAAATACAGGAGACAGCGGGAGATTCCCCGATCAGTGCTCGTAAGCATTGATGAAGAAATCTGTAATGCATTCAGCCCGTGGGTGAATGAAGAAAATATTACAGTGTATGGCCAGCTTTATACAACAAACATAACAAAACACTTCCAATGGTATAATAAACAGACCAAAAGGGAGCAAATATGAGAAGTTCATTGTTACATACAATTTAGAGCACATTTATAAAGCAGTGAATCTGATATTTAGCAAACCTTCTCTGCCAGTGAATCTTCCATCTCCGTGTGTTTTAAATGGCAGTGAATGCTCGATGAAAGCCACAAATAGACACATCTGTAATGTCTTCCTTATATTGTAAAGCGCTGCGCAAACTGTTGGCGCTATATACAGCCTGTATAATAATAATCTAACTCTAGGACGAGCCCCATGCACCTTTCCAGCATTTCCCAGTGCAGAAATTAGGTCACAGTCTGATGAATGCAATCTGTCACCATGCCATCGCGCAGTACAGGAGTGAGCATGGGATGGTGAAAACTTGTGATGTGCGTGGGCTCAGACCCCATTCACACTGAAGGATTCATAGTGCAATTTCCGCTCCCAA